TTATATTTAACTAATGATAGTAAAATTTATATTAATATAATCGAGTGATACATTTATCTCAACCTAACCTAACCAATTAACTTAGGCATCATTTATATAACATTCTTCTAAATTTGCTCAGCGAACAACATTTTTTTCGTCATTTTCGTGTTTCTCTCTGGGATCAACGGAATCAACAATATAATATGAGAAAGGTTATGTGCTCTTGACAACACTAGTCGCAGAAAGTGTAGACCAATGGTACAAGAAGGTTGGTTGGAAAGAATATAACTGAATATACCGCGAGGTAAAGTGAGATAACACGGGTCTACTTAAACTGTTAATTTCCGGCTTCAACCCCCACCACTGAAAAGCATGGGAATGCTCGGTCTATGTATATATGTCGTTGGTGACCACCTTCAGTCTACACAGTTAAGTCTCCTTCATAGAGATAGTAGTACTAGAGTACGCATTGTCGGAAATTTGAGGAGTGGGGGTAATTCTGTCTAGAAAAGGACGCACTCATTTGGTTTCGTTCTCTCTCGTTTCGCGCATGCGTATAGCCGTATACTCTGAGAGAGGGGATTGAAAGAAAGAATAAGGAATTGAAAGAGCAACCCTTGGCATTGGGAAACCCTTAACCTTATCAAAGTCAATTCTTTGTTTGATTCCAAAGAGATCAGGCTTGTCCGGTCATTCTTGGAAAACCAAAAGTTTCTTTCCGCGAGACTTAACTAAACCATGTGAATTTGACTATCTTTATGAGAAACAATCTGGTGGTGCTGGCCAATATGCTCGCATAACTGGAAGTATAAGTAATAGATTTTTATCATTAATATTTGTTAATATTATTCATCGAGACCCCTTAACCTTATCAAACTCAATTCTTTGTTTGATTCCAAAGTGATCAGGCTCAATCTGGCTTGTCCGGTCATATAATGATGAAACTTTTCTCGTTCGACTCGATCTTTCTTTCGATCCCCTCTCTCAGAGTATATGGCTATACGCATGTGCGAAACGAGAGAGAACGGAAAGGCCCAAATGAGTGCGTCCTTTTCTAGATAGGATTACTCCCACTCCTACAATGCGTACTCTAGTACTACTATCTCTATGGGGACTCTAGACCCACACCGGTCGCTATCTCTTTCTTTCGGGCCGGTCATATTCTTTCAGCCTGTGCGCAGTCCATACTATATGTCAATGAGCGCAACCGATATTCCGCGTCCTGATTGGCGTGACTGTCAGCCAATCATGACACTCATTTATTGGTATTAAAAATGGCTGACTAATAGACGATTGATGGATTTCATAGTTCGTCTGCAAACGACGCCATTTTTAGTACTTTTCTTAGTAATTTTGCGATACTGACTTAAGCCGGTTGCGCTTCTCTGATATCTGGAACTCTAGTGGACCCTAAGAAGAATATAATATCTCCAGAACGGCTTGACCAATTTTTAATTTCTTTGGCTCAAATTACTCGTAGCGATGCCGCCTTTCAGGACATATAACGTTCGTTTCAAAAATTTTTTATATTTTAGAAGTTATGCACCTCCAAAAAATGGACTTTGGTGGCTCGAGATAAGAGATTTGTAGTGTCTCTCAGTTTTTGAACATGGCTGGAGACACTACCGCGTCTCGTGATACTGGAAGCGGAATAGGCGCACAGATGTTGGCTTCACGTTTGGTATATGGGTGGCATAGGCAATTGCGCTTTCAGTAGTATATGTTCTAAGCTTTTCTACTAATCTACAGGAATTGACTAATCACAGTCGAGTATTTCCTGTACATACCGGCATACGGCATACATTTACGGCCAATATAAATCAGACCTAACTCAATCATCACGATTGCCAACTTGAGAAATACTGTTACCACAAGTATAAGGTCGCGCACAATGTAGGAACAGATATTAGATATTAAAATATTAACCTATCAGAATCGTGTATTCCGGTGTAACTGGTATCTGATAGGTTAATATTTTAATATCTAATATCTGTTCCCCCATTGTGCGCAACCCTAAGGATATATCTTTATACTGTGCTGTTAGGGTGCCGTCCCATTAAGCACGAATCGGAATGACGGATCGGGTATCTCACTAGAATTGAGCATTCCGTACCAGTTCCGTTCCGTGACAGTTTTCTCTACCCGTCCCATTCAGCAAAAACGGAACGGAATGTCGCGTCGATCGTTGGTAAATATGCTTGATTCATCGATATTTCGTTATTTTGAGCAGTTGAAACAATAATATACATATAATTTGTGCAATTATCTTGCTAATAATATTGTTGTGAGTTCTCTAAAATATTGAATTGTAATGGTAAAATATATTTTGTAACCAGATTCCTTTCCGTTTTTGCTGAATGGGACGGGTAGAGAAAACTGTCACGGAACTGAACTGATATGCATAGTTGAGTTAAAAGGGAAAGTGTACAAGAGAAACATAAACAATACTTCATATAATATTAAAACAATTAATTAACTTTAACGGGGAAGTGCGCATATGCTCTCCAAACGCAAATTCGTTATTCTCAAAGTACGTATTTTTAGCGAAGTTATTATCTTGACAATACGCAATTTTTTCATGGTAAAGGTATAGATTATTACAGCAAGTAATACCATGTTGAATTTGGATTTTGGCTTGGAAACAGTACTGATCGTGCATTGAGGCCCATATGCTGGATTCACACTGCATCCGATTGTCGTCGTACGACGGCTCTGCAACCAATCAGGAAACAAAATTTTGCTTCGTATTGATGATACAATTTTTCTAATTGGTTGCAAAGTCGTTGTACGACGAAAATCGGATGCAGTGTGAACCAGCAATAGCCAGAATAAAGAGGATATAAAGAACTGTAACGAGGCTGAAAATATAAAATCTTGAAACATGAATGAAAAAGCAGGTAATTATTCAGTAAGGTAATTATTCAGTTTAGCTCTCTCCCTCGCAAAAGTCTTATTAGTCTTATTTTTTTTTAGTCTTATTAATTATGTTAAAAAAACTACAAATGGTGAAAAATTTGCCAACTTGGCATGCTGTACCAATGTTCGAGAGAGTGCGAAAATTGTACTTAAGTTACATTGTTTTATTACAAAAACAGAAAAATATGAAAATGAAACGGAAATTCTGGGTACGACCAATGTTCACTCATAGAATGAGGCATTTACAAGGTGCAAGTGATAATTTGGTCATTGAGATGCAAATATCTGATCGTGAAAAATACTTTAATTACTTTAGAATGACTCCAGAATTATTTGAAGAACTACTAATGTTAGTCGGACCACAAATTCAGAAAAAAAAAGTTTGTCGAATCCCAATTTCACCTTGTATAAGATTACAGCTGACTTTGCGCTGGTTAGCATCCGGTGACAGTTTAGCATCTCATTCGTATGCATTTCGTATTGCACCCAATACAGCATCCAAAATTGTAAGACAGACTTGCACTGCATTGTGGGAGGTTTTGAAAGATAAAGTTTTTCTGTAACCTACCGCTGAAAATTGGCAAAAGGTTGCTGACGAATTTCAACAAATCTGTCAATTTCCAAATTGCGTTGGCTCTATAGATGGGAAACACATTATCATTCAGGTATGTACCTAATACAACCATATTTTCGTACATTTTTTAGTAAATCTGACATTAAATTCTTGTTAACTGAAGGCACCACCGAATAGTGGCTCATCCTGCTATAACTACAAAGGTAGTCACAGTATAAACCTACTTGCTGTGAGTGATGCGAATTGTTGCTTTAGCATTGTGGACATTGGAGCAGACGGGAGACGTAGCGATGCGGGTGTATTTGCCAGCAGTGACCTTGCTCGATTATTAGAAAGAAAATTACTTCAATTACCTATGGCCAGGCATTTTGATTATAGCGGATTCAAATTTCCGTATGTCTTAGTAGGGGACGAGGCATTTCCACTAACATCTTATATGATGCGGCCATATTTTCGAAGTGGGAATTTAACTATTACGAAGAAAATCTTTAATTACAGATTAAGTAGAGCACGGAGAACAGTAGAATGTGCGTTTGGGTTACTAGCGGCAAAATGGCGAATTTTTCGTCGGCCAATTGTCTCTCACATTTCAACGGCCAAATTAGCCGTTCAAGCTGCAACAGCTATACATAATTTTATAATGAAACATGAACTTCAATTGGAGCCATCGGAAAGAATTTATTCTGTTTTAAGTAGCAATGACCGAAATGTAATTTCGACTGGAATTGAAAATATACAAAATTGCAATGCACGAAGAAACGTTGAAGCTATACGAATTAGAGATGCCTTTGCTACGTATTTTGAAACTTCAAACCCACTTGATTGGCAGTGGAGGAAAGCCCTAAACAATGAATATTAATCTGAGGAAGAGTAATGCCTAATCGAGTCCTGTACACCAGATGTTAGTGTGTGTTGATACATGTGATTTATTAATAATGTACAATTTCCTTACGTTTTGATCCTTGGTTTGGATCCTTATCAAAGAACTTCTAATATGGTATAAACATTGATGTTAACATCATTTATGTAATTTTAATATAAAGTGTTCTAGGTAACACAATGTTTATACCATATTAGAAGTTCTTTGATAAGGATCCAAACCAAGGATCGAAACGTAAGGAAATTGTACATTATTAATAAATCACATGTATCAACACACACTAACATCTGGTGTACAGGACTCGATTAGGCATTACTCTTCTTCAGATTTTTATCATACGAGTCAACTAGTATCTTCATTTATTATTAATGAATATTAAATTTCTGTATTATGTAATTATATACATGTTATATAATTATCTATAAGATATAAAATAAAAAAGCCATATTTTTTCCTAAGAATTATTAATAAATATTAGATCGTACATACCTAAACGTTTCGAATTTGACATACATATATACGTAGTGTGTAACAAAAAATTTTTTTCAGATTCAAATATGAACACTGGTCGAGTTTTATTGAAAAGAAAAAAACGTTTTATCTTATTATATAATGTATAATATATTGGTAAAAAAATTAAAGATAACGATAATAATATAACAAATTTATCGTTTTGTAATTTCCCTCTCCGTCAATTCTTCGTCTTCTGCCCTGTGAATGAGATGCAACAACTCCATTTGTGTTTGCCTTCTTCGAAGATAGTTCAACCTACGCAGCACATCTCCTATCTGCTCCAGAAAATTGTCCACTGCATCCTTTTTTGGCGTATTTTCGGTAAGTAATTGCAACATGTTATTATGCAGTGACTGCGAATCGAGATCATACTGCTTTTCTGTAATACAAAAAATAAAAAAAATTAAATTAAATTAATAAAATACTAAAAAATAAAAAATAAAATACTAAAAAATATTACCAAAAATATATAAAATACTGTATATTTGTATAATATTATAAAATGCTATGAAATATTACTATATAATAATAAAATACTAAAAAAATATAAGAAAATGCAAAATATTAAAAGATCAATTTCAGGCTATTACAGTCTGTGAAGAGAATCAGTATAATATAAATTTATTAAGTTGAAAGGTATGAAAATGTATCAGCTAATTATAAAAATCTATGAGATATTGGTTATTTAAAATTAATTCACCTTTTCGTTTTTTTGTTAGTCTGCAATGAGCCGAACTACTTGCTGTTTCAATGTCTGACATGCTACAATCTGTTGGAGAAGATACATTGCTGAAATTACATTGCTGAAATTCCAAATCGTTTAGACTCGATGCACTATCTTCATCATGACATATGTTCCGTGGTAGAGAGCTCGTTGTACTAAAATAAACAATAAAGATAAAATAAGAAGAATATAGCGGGGAGCACAGACTTTTGCATAACGCATAAACCATATACATAAAGAATTTGATTGGTCCATTGACTCATGCATAAGAAAATGGACCAATAAAATTCCTTATGCACATGCTTTATGCGTTATGCAAAAGTCTGTGCTCCCCGCTTATATCATATGTTTTATATTGTAAGGGCCAATTATTCCATCTTTCGGTAAAGTTTATCTGTTAAGTAATCTGGCAATCCGCGTATATGATTGGATAATCTTGCTACTTTCCTAACAGGTGAACTTTACCAAAAGATGGAACAATCAGCCCTAAAGCCTATCACAGTATAGGCTGTGCCTATATATTAGTCAAGTTATTACGCACGGCATTTCCTGCGCAGCCTCGTCTAGAAATTGCATTCTTGAATAGAAGCGGAAAGGACTTTTCTGCGGATGTCCAGCTTCCGCACCCGATCCGCTGCGTACACCCACGGTAATTAATTCTGTCCCTCGGAAATTTTCACAAAATGAAAAGTGACCACCTTTCTATATTAATTGTCACAATCTATGCACGATTAACGTTGCGACTGAACGTTAATCGTGCATGGATTGTAACAATTAATATAGAAAGGTGGTCACTTTTCATTTTGTGAAAATATCCGAGGGACAGAATTAATTACCGTGGGTGTACATAACTTTTCATTTTTTTGCGGGCTTTTGAGTAACAGTCCCTCAGATATGACCATCGAGATTTCATCCACGCCACATCCTTAAAACCTAAAAATCCCTAGTTCGAATTATGAATTCAGCGTACACAAATATTAAAGTAAATCAACCCATTTGCGAGTACAAAAGACTCTATGTATGTGTTTGCCGCAGCTCACCGCATACATGGAGTCTTAGCTTTAGGCCCGTATTTAGAATGTGCTTCTAAATATGTTGATGCATGTTTTTGTTATTCTATTCTTATTTTTGGTCTAACCGTCTAATGAATGATGAAGATAGAATGACAAAAATACGCACTAACATTTTAGAGCGTTCTGAATATAGGCATATACATTTATGAATACCTACATAAAACGAAGTAAAATAATTTTATATTACCAAGATTGTTGAAGACTTCATCCCATAACTCTTGTCGTACACAAGGGTTTCGCTTTTGAATTGGCAACTTTTGATTCCATAGACCTGGTCTCTGTTCTACTGCATCAATGAGCATCTCATCCATGGTGTCCGCTGAATATGGAGTAAAATCATTACTATTCTCTGATGCATCCTTCTGTATACTTTCTCCTACTTCCTTCACTCCTATTTATACATAAATGAGTATATTTACTAAATATTTTTAATACTTGTATGTGTGTGTGTGTTTTGTAAATATTTTCTTGCAAATTAAATTACTCATTGTAGCTCGGCCTTTCTCGTCGACAACAAGAATATGGATAAATTCATCATAGCTTTTGAAGCAGTTATGGGCTTGAATCTCTGCACAGGATCCATATATTATCCATCCACAATAACCGCATTTTATAGCCTGCAAATATGAACACAATAAGTAAGGCAGAATCTACGCATTGAAGATATTGAGATTGAAGATTGAAACATTAACATTTGGCCAATTAATTATTAAAATAATAGGAGCTAAAATTGCTCTATCATGGTCAAATTTAAATTTTCAAACTTTAATCTTAATTTTCAATGTATAGTCTGATTCCGGCCTAACATGAATTGCATAATATTTGATGTTGTTCGTATTGAAAAAATTCATATGCTAAAAATTATACGGAGAAAACCATGTAGAAAAATGATATGGTAAAATTACATCGAAAAATCCATATAATGCGTTCAGATGTTATTATTTAACAATAATATAGAAAAAAGTATTGCTATCTCGTCGTTTATCTTATGGATGATCGTTCATCCACATGATCTTCCACATAGATTTGTTTCAATAGAGGGGTTTTTTCGTTATTCAACCAGAAGTGACCACGATTAAGACTTTGTTTTCAGTAATCAGGAGACAAAAATAGCCTTAGCCGCGGTTGCTTTTGGTTGCATAACGATAAAACACCTTAGATTATGTCAATTTCAGGTTTTTTGGTAAACAAACAAAACTTCTATATAGTATAACCTATTAATATGCGAATATAATTCAATGATGTTCTGAATAATAATAAACATCTAATAATAATTAATGAATATAATAAACAATGTGTATTTAAAATTATTATTACCGGCCCTTTTTCTTGATAGTTGATACTCATCTCGATAAAATTTCGGATTATTGTTACGTGGAAAATCTTATTGATACACACATGCACGTTACATAAATTGATGTAAGTCGGAATAAAACAAAATATCCTGTAATGTTCTTCCAACACAATGGCGTTATAAAATTTAAGCGGACAGAAACACCCGCCCGATCCGTCCGGAAATGAGGAAATTTAATGTTCCGAACAGAAGAAACAGCAGGATCAAGAATTCCCTAGCAGATTTCGATCCGTCATTCCGATCCGTGTTTAATGGGACGGCACCCTTAGACTTAAAAGAGGAAAAGAGTAGGCATTCTAATACATTAAACTACTTTATAAACGTGGAAATGGCATTGTAAGAGTCAAACAAAAAGAAAATTAACAACAAATTAATACATATATTCTAAAATGAACTTATAAAATTTACATAAATGTAACGATTAAAAAAACAGATGTTAATTATATTACTAGTTTCGACCACCAAATCTGGTCCTCTTCAGATGAAACACTTAACGTTGAAAAGTACATAATTATGGACAAACATCAATACAAAAGAAAATCTTGTGCATAGTTAAATATATAACTGAAAACAATAAATGAACATATATTAATTAAAAGATTGTAATCTTAAATTCTATGAATGAAAAATTAACGATGCGCAAAACATACCAAAAAATTTGCAAATCTATGCGTGAAAATATTAGTTGGTCCGTGTATCCATATATTTACAAAAATAGTCATAATGATAATTGTCACACAATAAAAACAGTAAAAAATTTTTTCTTTAAAAAAACTTATGTCAGAAATATTACAAAACTGTCGAAGTACATCTTGAGATAAAAAATAATACATGGAACACGTCAAACATCCTCAACGGACCAATTCCAACTAAATAACGACCGGCAACAACTGATACAGAAAGATCAAATTTTGTTTATAATGGGTATATATGCTTCATGAAGACCTTCCGTGTCGGTTTGTAAGTTTAGGCTAAATTTCTGTTTTTTAATATTTAACATTTCTGAGACCAATCGCTTCCTGTAACAAGGTTCCTCATCAAGAATTTCAACATCGTCCCACCGAAAGTCATGATTATACTCCAATCTGTGATCAGTTATTACCGATCTGGTAGAACTATTATAATTTATATGATTACGGTGTTCTTTAATTCTTGTTTTTAATTGTCTGCTGGTTTGCCCCACATAAGAAGCATCGCAATCGTTACACTGAATTTTATAAACGACGTTACTTTTAGATGTGTGGAGACGTGAGTCCTTTTGCACCTTAATGTATTTTTTCATTTTGTTCGGACTACGAAAAGAAACTCTGACAACACTCCTATCAAATCTCTTAAATTTCTCCGCGTGGATCGGAATGAAAGGCACCGTAAGCCAAGATGGACATGCATTA